GTTTTGTTTTGTGTTTACCTGGGTTCAGTTAAGAGCCAGGTGCACAGACCCCTATTTTGCATCAGAAGGGGTCAGGCCTGGAGTGTCCTGCCTTCCTTTGTTCTGTCCTGTGCTGGGAAAGAGTCTTTTGCCCCAACATGTCTCTGCACAAAGGGCCCATGAAATGCTGCTTCTCTACTGTACTCCTGGAAGAGGGCTGCTGTGAGACGGGAGCACAGGGGGTCTCTGGTCAGAGGAGACATGGTTCTAGGGCCGTATCTCCCCTAGAGTGCAGCCTGGTGGCACACCCTCCCTTTGGTTTTACTGGAGCTGCAGCTAGAATCTGGCTTTTTCAGAGTTGGTGTCTTTATGTAGCACATGCTATTGTTACCAGCTGACAGCTCTTGGCTGAGTGGCCTTTGTGATTCAGCCATGTGTTTATCCCAGCTAGTGGCCCAGCCCAGCATGGGTTTCCATGGAAAACTTCCATCAAAAACAAGGAGAAAGGGAGCTGGAGCAAGAGTGACTCAGATGCAACTAGAAGATTCTGTGGGTTAAATGGGGGAGGGGGAGATATTTCATTTGAGACCATGTGTCTCTGCTCCTTGCCAAATGCAGACACCAGGGGCAGAGAATGACCTCGTCTCTCCACACCTGCCTGCCTGCAGTGATCCAGCATAACTCCCCTCTGCAACATATACTCCTTCCTTCCGGTCGACATCCCCCTTTAGGTTTCCTCTCTGCCCCCTCTCAACACTCCGCACGCATTTTCTCCTGTCTGCCCCCTTCCGGGCTGAGGAAACGGTTCCAAATACATTCCAGGCATACAGACAAGCTTGGACTCAGGGGTTTGAGTTGCGTAACTGTCTGTGAAACATGTTGATGATTTCCATTTGTACCATCACCCCAGCCTCATGCGTCAGCCTCATCACGTTGTCAGACACTTACTAGCAGCGCTCTCTGGTTTATAAGGAAAGGCAAAGAGCTGAGTAAGAAGCTTGGCTTGTGGTTCTGGGTTTCGTATCAGCAGTGCCTGGAAACCCCTGGCTCTGTTCCGTGTGCACCCCATTGCAGGTGTCTGGGGCTGAATGGCTTTGGCAGATACAGAATTAGTGGGGCTGGGAATGGATCTAGACTGGGGACAGTTCGTACTGAAATAAAATGAGAGCTGAAATGGAGAAGGGGTGGGATTGGCTGGAAGTTGTACCACAGCTGAGAAGGGGGATAGAGTAAGATGGGTGGAGCCGATAGGAAATGCGGAAGGACAGGTGGGGTTTGGAAGGGGATGGGGGAGGTTTCATTGGGTTGGACATTAGTCTCTTCAAGCTGAAGTTCTAGCTGTCCTACCTATTTCCCCTTCAATACTTTTGACTAGTGGGAGGAGAAGTCTGCAGACCTTTAAATGGGCTCAGTTCAGCTGAGGGGGCAGAAAGAAAGATTGCTCCCAACAGCAAAAGTGGGGCTTGAAATGGCAGCTCTGTTCATGGTAAGTGGCATGCTCAAGCCCTTCTCCTATGCAGAGCCATCACACTGAAGAAGAGAAGCAGAGCTGTCACCTATTGCCTGCTGGTCCCATGATAAACATGGACTCTGCTGTGAGGAAGCTCCCACCTTCAGAGACCTAGCGGTTAGAAGCCATTGCTGGGAACAGGAGGCAGAGCAGGGCTGCACAACGGAGAACCTTACACTACAGTAGTCACTGGTATCATTACACCAGGGCCATTAAGAAGTAAATACAAGCAGCCAAGAGACCAGAGCCATCCAAGCCACTCAAAGTCAAACCGTAAAGGACAGTGTGTGAAACATCATTGCCTGGAATCCATTAGCATTAGTAGTTCAGTCATTCCTTACCAGAACTCAGCTCAGGGAGTCCATTGCACAACTTGCTGACCCACCCTCCTCCTCGGAGAATAATGCCAACAGGCCTCCTCCGGGAATGCTGTGCTAGTGACAGCAGTAGTCCTGTGGCCAGGCAGGCTTCTCCCACACCTCTGCCTCACCAACATGCGCCAATGCTGCCATGGACAGCTCCTCTCGAGGAGCCAGGGGAGGTCAATCCTTGGACTTTCTACCAACAGGCAACTAGCAACAGTGGGAGTGATTTGGGGGATAGATCTTCCTCTATTTCTTTTCCAGTTGCACTCCCCAAAGCTGTTCTGTGCTCCCCGCGTACACTGGCCTTTCTAGAGTAATACTCAAACTCAGGGCTTGAGTCTGAGCTACAGAGCAGGCTGCATGCATGGAGTGGGGTCTTTAATATCAGTTTTGTATTGCTGTCCACAGCTGAACACACAGCAAGGTAATACCTACTTTACATCAGACAGAGAGAGTTTTGAAGTTGTATTGTCTAGTTAAAGGGAGCAGGGAGCCAGGACTCTGGGATTACATTTTCAATTCCGCAGTGACTCACTGTGTGTCCCTGGGCAAGTCACTTCCCTCTTCTAGCAGCACTGACCTTTTGTAAAGCGTTGTGTTATCCTCGCATAAAGGGCCAGGTTTGTAAAGGTGTTCAGGCACCTGCAGATAGGTACCACACAGGTTTTTCAAAAGTGCCTAACCCCATGGGAGTTGTAATGCTTTAAAAAATCCTACTAGGTGCTTATCTGCTCTTCACATGCCTCAATACTTTACAAACCAGCCCAATTTATATTTTTGAAGGGAGGCAGGTACAATAAAGAGGCATGTGCAGATCCTTACCACACACAACTTTGGTTCAGTTCTGTTCAGGGTAGAAGTGAAAGTTGGTTTGGTGCTTTCTTCCTGGTCCCCCTTGCTCCACCCTGACAAGAGCTGTAGGGTAAGGGGCCGCAGGTGGGGGTTGATGTGCACTGGCCTGAACGATTTAGCACAGGGCTAAAGATAAAGAGGCAAGTCAAGCTCTGTTGTGTTTGTCTGGAGAACCCAGTAGAGACAGGAGGCAGTTGTTATACTGCAGCTCAGGGGTGGGAGTTATTCCTTTACTTCTTAGTCCATGAAAATTGCTGCAGACACTCGTAGCCAGACTGAAAAATTACATCTTTGAAATAAATGACTCAAACTTGGTTTCTGCAAAGTGCTTGTCCAGCTGCAGCCCTTTCGTAAGTCAGAACAGCTCAGTGGAATGCGCAACACCAAAACAGAGAGCATCTAACGGTCTCTCGGGCCTGTCTCACTCTGAAATACAGGCACCCCTTAGAGCAGAGCTACTTCTACTGTGCATGCAGCACTCCCTACATCCCATCTCAAAAGCCTTTAGAAAGCGGAGCCAGACTCAGAAGGAACATGGGGAAGTTGTGGCAGCTTGTCTGCCTGGGGTGGAGACACGGCAGGTCTCCCTTTCACTGAATAATCTCTGCTAGCACCTGGGTGACCACCCTCCTACGCAGTGATTCAATGCTTGCAATACATTCACAGCAGAGTTGTGTGCGCGCACATAGCCCACTGCTGTATAGATTCTGACCTGTTCTTGAGCTGGGACAGACCACGGCCCTCTGCTGGCTGAAGCCAGACCTGCCACTGTATTGTCACCATCCTCTAGACAGAATCAGACCTGCAAATGCTGGGTCTCTCACCTCCCATGCTTGGCTCACCCATAGGATATGACTTTTAGCTCAAGCAATTTTGGAAGTGGCCATCCCACAGTCTGTTCCTTATGGTCACAGGGGTGTGATTTATCCATTTACTACAGTGATTATGAACTGGCCACCAGTCAGGGTACAAATGCTGAAAACACAATGTTGGATACAGTTTTAAATCCTGCACTTAGCACAACTACCACGAGAGGGCAAAATGCTCCTATCAGCCAGAATCCTGTCACAGCAACCGAAGGCACCTTAGCATAGATCTGCCTACCACCCTGAAGAATTGCAGGACTTTTCCTACCCTCATCTAGATCTATGAATACATCAGCAGTACTGTGTGGTCTTCAGGGATCATTCCTGGACAACACTATTATCTCCCCCTTACAGCAACAACTGGGATTTCTTCACCTGCTCTACAGCTGCAGTGCAGAGATACCACAATACTGTCCTGTTAGCACCTAGAAGAGGGTATGAATCTCATCTGGGAACTGGGACAGCATCATCACTGTGATGTTAGCTCTTCTGTTGAGAGACACGGGTTGTGTTGCTCTGGAACAGGTGTTTTCAGAGAATCCTTTTAACAGAAGCTGTTGACTCAGGCTCTTTTCAGGGAAGTACCCTTGGCCTCAGATACTGCAGATTCCACTTCAAGAGTGGCTAGTACAACCAGTGAGAGTGAGACGTCCAGCAGCCCCCACCCCCCCCCCCCCCCTTTTTTTGAATGAAGCTTACTGTATGTTCCAGGAAAATGTCTCAGCCAAAGATCTGGCCTAGGTTTGGCAAGCAGGACTGTCATACTCAAGGCTCTTCCTTTGAGAAAATGCACTTGATATGGGACAAACTGCAAGGAGTGAAATTACATCTAGCTCCTCAGGGCTGGATGTGCACAAGAACTTCTTAGCTAGGAGGGGGAAATGTACCAAATGCCTTGGCACCAGCAGAGGAGCAGATGGAATCTTTTCTAGAGCTAGAAAGTAGCAGCTTTGGCAAGGCACCAAGTTTGGCCAAGTAGCTGGTTTTCTTTGAGGGGACCACTTTGGGGCATAAAGGCTATGTGAGATCCTAATGCTTTGAACCAACCCCTCATTCTGTGTCTCTGCGGACACTTTCTCTGGCCAAGATCTGGGACTCCCATTAATACCACTCAGAGCAGCCAGATAAGTCTCCATAGAGACCACAAGAAAAACTACACAGCAGACTTGTGTGGCCTTTCCATTATGAGGCTCCTCATGCTAGTGCTTTGATGCTCTACAAAATGAGATTGCAGAAAATGGGAAAGATGTAAAGAGCGAAGGCAGGGAGGGTTTAATATTTTCCTGAGTTATTTCACCAAAGAAATTCTGGATCTGAAGTGAGGCAGCAAATGCCCTGTCCTCAGCCCATCCAGGTGGCAGGAGAACATAGGGACCTTTGGAACCTACGCAGACACATGGATGACAGCTCAATTGGAGTTCCATTTATTATAGATCATATCACCAAATATCCATCTCCTGTGACAAAACTCCACCTGGCCTCACATCTTCTGTGCTATAAGACCCATGATAAGAGTTGTAGATTTTTAACACCAGAAATAGTACAATCATTTAATTTGTTCTCCAGTATAACACAAAACATTTAATTTCAACCAGTGATTCCTGCACCAAACCCGTAGCTTCAAGAGTATCTTTTATAAAGCCATCTAATATTTATTTTTTTAAATTTAGTATTGATTTAGAGTCCATGTGCCAGAGAATCCGCCACAACCCTAGGTAAAATGGTCCAATGGTTGTTAGTGTGTTAAAATTTGTGCCTTATTTCTAGTCTGAATTTGTCTGGCTTCAGCTTCCAATTACTGGATCTTATTATCGTTTATCGGCTAGATTAAAGAGCCCTCTGCTTATCAGAAATCTTCTCCCCGTGTAGGTACTTCTAGACAGTGATCACATCCCCTCAACTTTCTCTTGGGTCATCTAAGTCAAGGGAGCGCCTTTAGCCTCCTCCCCTCCATGCCCAAGGGCAGGTCCCGCCTCTTTTATTTCAAAAACTTGCCCAAAAACTCCAGATAGGCTCTCTTCTGGGGAGCAGCGGCAGGGACGAAGTGTCCCCCGGGATGGGTGAGGACTGCTGGATCGACGAAGTGGGACGCCAGCTCCCTGCTCAGTCCCGGCGGGATGACCCGGTCCGTGTCCCCCAGCACATGGAGCGTGGGCACGGCAATGGGCTCCCGGTAGTAGCCGCTGTGCGGGGCAGCCCGGCTCCTGAAGCCGGCAACCACGATAGCGAACTCAAAGGGGAACCGCGCGTCCCCGCGCTGCTTCAGGGCGCAGACCATGGCCGCCAGCGCCGCGCCCTGGCTGAAGCCCAGCAGCCCGTCGAAGGGCCCCTGCTCCGCGAGCGCCCGCGCCACCGTGTCCAGGGACTCGTCCAGCCCCTTGCACGCGGCGGCTTCCTCCAGGGCGTCGAACGTCTCCTCCCGCGACCTGGAGAACCACCAGCCGCGGGGCGCGGCGTCCTCCGGCTCCGGGGCCGGCTCCAGTGCCGGGGCCCGGCGGGGAGAGAGAGCGCCGGGCCCAGGCTCCAGGGGCGGGCCCAGGCTCGGCCCGCCCCGCCCGGCTCCCCGCCGCTGCCCCGGTACGTTACCGTGCTCGGGCGCGGGCCCCGGGACCGGGTGGGGCGCGCTCACGCTCACCAGCTCCGCGCGGCCCCGCAGCGCTTTGCGCAGCGCCCCGGTCCGCTCGTGGAAGCTGCGCTGGTTCTGGCGGTAACCATGGAGACCCAGGAGCCGGAGCGGCCGCTTCCCCCCGGACATGGCGGTCACCGGAACCGGATATCCGGCTTTCAAACCGGAAATTCGGCAGCCCCGCCTGCCCGCTGGAAATGCCTATGCCCCGCTCGGGGCGGAACGAGCGTTGCCATGGGGCTGAATGGGGGTTTTCATTGGCCAGCGCGTGCTGAGAGGCGGAGCCAGGGCGGTCCAGCTGTGAGGGGCCCAGCCGGGGCTGTCAGGGCTGGGACAGGAGCCCCCAGCACAGCCCCCCCGGCCCCCCCACCCCGCGCCAGGCCGAGGCCGAGCCTGAGTTATTCCCAGCCTCCCCCCCCCGCCCCCCTTGGGGGGGCGATGGGCCCTGGGACGCCCCCGTTCCTTGGCCAGCCTGAGCTCCCCCAAGCCGGTCCAATACAAGCGATGACCTCACCCAGCCTGTCAGTCTCTAGGCAGCCAGCAGCCCCCTGGGGCCAGGCCGAGCTCAGAGTGCCGGGGGGGCAAGGCTGGGATAGCAGGGGGCTGCGGGTCAGGAGTGAGGGGCACCAGCAGGAGCCCAAGGCTGGGATAGCAGGGGGCCGTGGGTCAGGAGTGAGGGGCACCAGCAGGAGCCCAAGGCTGGGATAGTTTTACGGGGCCTGCCCTGTCCCTCTCTGCTGGGAGCCTCTCTCTATCCCTGGCTCCTGCACCATTTATCTCCCACCACCACCCCCAGCAACGCCACTGGGGACAGAGCAAAGACAACCACCCAGAAGAGGCAAGTTAACATGGGCTCTGACAGAGATACGGGGCTTGTTTCTCTTCTCCTTTAGATCAATGTAATCAGGAGCTAGTGATAGCAGGTGAAGGCTGCTCTGTGAGTAGAACCAAGACCCCGGGAGGAGAGCCCACATCTGCCCACATGTGAAAGGACTCTAGGGCTGGAGGACACTTTATTTCCAAGTTTCAAAGAGGATTTTGCAAACCATGGAAGGTGAAACACAAAGAGACAAAGAATCTATCCCTCCACTGCAACTGGCAAATGTATCAAGGTAACTACAGCGTGTAAGTTAGGGTTCACTGCTGCCGCCAGGCTGAGCCTTGATGTCTACACACTGGGGCTGAGGCACCGAGGGGAAAAGAGCAGTGTGTTGGCCTAAAATCCATCTTCCCCAGGCAGAACACAAGCGGAACCTCGGCACTGCTCCCAACTTTGTGCTTCTCAACATCCCATTAGTGAGACTATGTCCGAAACCCAGCAGAGTTGAAGGGCCTTTGCGTGGCCATTTCCACCTCTCTGTAGTACACACAGGACATTTCAATGCAAATTAATCATGGTTTGGGCACAGCTGTTCCTTAACGGGGGATCTCAGTCCAGTGCCCAGGGAATGGTTCCTATCACAGAAACCACTGCTACAGCCGGTTCTTTCAGGCAGCCTCCGTGGAAACACTTCAGGCTGAATGGGCCAGACACTGAGAGATGGTTCTCCAGGGCAGTGAGAGAGTGGCCCTGCCACTGCCTACTCTGTACCTGTTCTGGGTGCCAGTCAGTCAATCTATAGGGCTGTTGATCTGGCCCATTTCACCAGCTCTGAAGTCAGAGACAGCCCTTCCTGAGAGCAAAGCTGGGAGCGCTTGTTTCCAGGCTGGTAACTGCAGGGCTGTACCTGCTGATATCCCCATTGTTTGGGGGTTCAGGGGTGCTCTGGCTGCAATGGGGCCTTGTCTTGACAGCTGCAGTCGGTGCATTTCTTCCCCACACCAGCATCCACTGGCACCACAGGTTCAGGCAGCTTCCTCTACGGCCGAGAGAGAGAGAGAGAGAGAGAGAGAGACCATTCAGAAGAGGATCCGTCCCCAGGGTTCTGCCAGCACCGTGATATCATCACACCTGCTCCCTAGTCCCAGCTGCTGCTCTTGAAACGCACCTGCCCCACTCCCCTTGTGGCCCCTATTAGGTTATCTTGGCCTCCTTTCCATCCCCTGCGGAAAGCTCACGTGCTGGAAGTCGTGTTCTCAGCATGGATTTATGGGCACGCTAAGCCTCCCCTCTCATTTCCTAGGCAAATGACACCAATAAATGCTCCTGCATTGCCCTACAGTGAACAAGTGACAGGCTGTGACACAGCCCTTTGTGCTGCTCCTGCTTATCACACTCCAGACAGGCACCCAGCAGCTGCCACTTGTTACAGAAACAGCGACAATAACTCAGAGGAGCGCCTGCTCCCTGGCCTATATCTCAGCGGGAACAGCCGATACCGATCAGACAAGATTGCTGCTTCTCATAGCCACTCCAGTCCTGCTGGCCTCTTAAATCACTTCCCAGAAAGTCCTCTAGACACCAGCTCCTTGTGCTAGGGTATTGTGACATACCCAGCTGGGAGCCCTGGTCTGAGCCTACCCCAGAAAGCATCCAGCTCTGCCACACATGGTGGGAGCAGGAGCATTGGCCAGTGGGGTGAGCTGGCTCAGCAATGACCCCAGAGGACTCTGCTGGGCCCACTCCACCCCAAAGGGAGCTGGCCTCTTGGGAATCCCTGCCACACACAGCCGCAGCATGGGGCCAGTATCGGAACGGGCTTCGGATTCGGAGCTTGAGGCTGGAAGTCCTGGGTCCATTCGCCACATGACCTTAGGTGAAAGTCTGTGCCCCTTTCCAGGCCAACGGGGAGCGTGAGGGAGGGGGGCGGCTCCGGCTGCCGAGCGCTGGGCCAACACCAAGCATTTCATTATCACCAGCCACTGGGTGGTGCTCTCAGCTCACGGCAGAGCCCAGGCCGCGCAGGCTGCAGGGCGGCTTCCTTGTCAACAGGAAAACCCCAAACCCAGAGAAGCAGGAATTAAAGCTGTCCCAAGGACTGGTGTCTTGTTGCCCAGGGCTCTGGCACTGTCCCCTCCGTCCCTGGGGAGTACTGGGGCCACCAGCTGGGGGGCAGAGAAGGGAAAGTGCAGGGCCAGGGCCAGGGCCCAGCTCCCTCCTGGTCCTGTCTTTGTCCGCACACAACAGGTACAAAGCTCTGGGCACCTGCCCAGTCCCCTGGTGGGCAGGTGCAGGCAGCACATGGTGTTTCTCTTGGGCACAGCAGCGGGCCGTCGGCTGCCTAGGGTGAAAGGGGAGGGGTGAGGCTCAGCAGGAGCCAAGGCCTCGGCTGGGGCAGGTTTGTGGCCATGTTCCCCAGCATCACCCCAAGAGAAACGGGTCAGGAGGAGGCGGCAGTGAGAGCTTGTGTCGCCCCAGGGACCCTTCTTCCTTGCAACCCCATTGCAGGTGCCTCACCTGCGCTGGCCGGCTGGTGCCCCTCTGGGGCTGGTGGCTGGCATGGTTGACTGTCCAGGGCCCCAGGGACTGGCCGGCGTAGAAATCCATGGGGTAAGTCTGCTGCCACTCGATTTCCTTCAGAGCCACAGCAGCCTGGATGGGTGCAAAGTCATGTCACCACAACAAAGGACCCAGCATCCTCCACAGGAGAGTCGCATGGAGAAGCGACCAGTGTACCAGCCCCTCTCAGCGGATGCCGGGGGCTCAGACTGCTCCACACATGCACTTTAACGACTTAGTAAAATGGTTAGAAGCATTAAACTCCAAATCAGAGTCTGCAGCTTTCTGAGGTGCTTGGTACTAAAAGGGCACTGCTGTGAGGAAGCTTGCAGCGCTGGGGTCCCTGGCTGGGCACTGCTGCGGGGAAGCTCGCAGCGCTGGACTGCATATTAAATCATGACAGAGCATTAGGAACAATCCAGGTGCTCGCTCTGATGTGGTGGGGGGAGCAGAGACGACTGGGAGCACATGAAGAACGACCCTGCAGCGCTTGGTGTGATCTGCAGAAGCATGTGGAGGCGGCCCTCCCACCCAACGGGACACGCAGACCAGGCAGAGAATTACAAACGTGTCCATAAATCTTCCCTAAAATAATGTGGTGCTGGCCCCTTAGTCCCTGTCTGCAGCGATAGGGGCGGCCCAGTCACAGCCAGGCTCAAAGTTCCCCTGCTGTTATTTGTCTGTGCCCGGCTCCCAGAGCCTCTGCCTTCCTCACAGCTCGCCTGCATTGGGCCAGGCAGTTGGTGGAGGAGTAGAGACATTTGGGGAGATTGGGGCCGGCTGGGCAGGGCCGGAGGTGCACCTGATCTGTGCAATGGAACAAGTTCAGCCAAGGGAATGTCTGTTCTGGGCCCTGAGCCTTGTCCGTCGGGTCCACCGACTCCTCTCCCTGCGGTGCTGGGCACTGGGGCAAATTCCCGTCCCACCTCTGCCAAGGCGAGACAGAGGGCTGCCGGGAACTTCTTACCTCGTAGGGTGTGAGCAGCGGCTTGCTGAAGGCTCCTCCCCAGTCAATGGAGAGCCGGGGACAAGCCACCTGCACCCACCTGGAAGGGAAGCACAGGGGCCACGTTACTCACTTAGTTCAGGCCAGAGCTGCAGACAGGGTCTGCTCCCTCCCGCCAACCCACTGGGCAGGGACTTGCTCATACGCTGCCCGGTGATTCCACGGGCTAGGAGCAGTGCAGCAGGTAGCTCTTGGCCCACACAGGGTGCTGGGCAGTCACCTGTGAGCACTGTCGTTGCTGGCCTAGCTTGGCCTCCCCCGGTGGGGGTCCCTCTCAGACCCGGTCAGCTCCCTAGGGTGGGCGAATCCCCAGCGTGTGGGGGGCACGGGCCGCATTCGCTGGGGAGATCCTTAGGTTTTGGGGACCTTCAGTGGCTGCCTTTACGGCCACCCCCACGTCTAAGGAGCTGCTGCCAGGGCCAGGGGCTTGGCCATTCAGGGCAGAGGGAGGAAGAGGGGCCCAGCAGACACGAGGGAGCTCTGAAACTACAGAGCAATTATCGTCCTTTGGAAAAGCCAGACCCTCCAGCTCAGTGCGACAAGGGCACTGTCTGCAGGGGCCCGGGGCTGCCCGCCCCCTGCCACAACCCACTCAGCTAAGTGGAGGAAACCTGCGAAGCAGCAAACAGCACTTGGCGTGTTTATTTCAGCTTGGCCTGGGCTGCATCCCCGTCACCAGGGATCTGTCCTGCTCTCCATCATGTTTAGCCGAGTCCAGCCGAGCGAGAGCATCGCACGACGCAGCCCCGGCACCCGGGAATATTTCAGAGCCCAGGGTCAAACATGCAGGGCTGGGAGAGGCTACTTCCAGAGCACAGAGGAACACGGCCTGGGGGCCACCCCCCGAACCACTCCCACAGCAAGGGAGGAAGATCTGCAGGCACCTCTCACTGGGCAGTGGGGGCCCACGGCCAGGAGAAAGGGGGTGACCCGCTTCTGCGGGGCGGCTCTGCAGACACTCGCATGGGAAAGGATGGGAGGGGACACGGGACGGCACCCAGACAAGCCCTGGAGAATAGCGATGCAGCGAAGAGGACCCCTGGGAGGACAGGCGAATGCAGAGCCTGCCCCACAGAGCACAGCGGGCGGGCGGCTCCACATGGACACGTCTTGCTGAACTAGGTCACGGGGAGGGGCTCGTGGCCACATGGGATCCCAGAGCTGGGGGGCCTGCTTGAGTCTCCTGGGGGTCACCCCTCTGACCCCAGCCAGGCATCTCCAAACTGGCTCCTGCCCCCAGCTCCCGGGGCGGGGGGCCCACACTGGAGCGCATGCTTGGTACCTCGCCACTCAGCACCACGGCTGCAGGGGATGGGGGGGGGCAGCTGGACCCGCTGGGGAGGGTGGGGCCTTGTGGCTTCCTGCTCAGGCTCTACGCCGCAGCCCCCCAAGCCACTGCCCAGGAGTCTCCAGCAGCCAGAGCTGAGCTCTCCGCTGACACTAACCAGAGCGTTTCCACGGGGCCTGCGCCCCACTCCCAGGGCTGGGGCGTCACTGGAGGAGTGTGGGGGGCACTGACAGAGAGGAGGTGCAGGCCCGTTGCGGGTCCCCACAACACATCATAAGAAGCTGGTCGGGGCCCTGAGCAATTGCTTGGCCTGCTCATGCCTAGGGCCGGCTCTGCTGACGCAGCACCTGTGCTTGGACACCAGGGAGCGACGCTCCAACATCCTGGCGTAGAGACAAAGGCCTCGGTGCTCCAGCACCCTAATGAAATCACCAGGACGTGACCCTGCCCCATGGCCCCCTGGGAGAGACTCCTGCTCCTACAGTAACGAGACTGGATTTAAATTCAGCCCATTCCCAGTCCCTGAGGGCCCCACAGCAGAATGCGCCTGCCTCCGAGCTCCCAAAGGGACATGGGCCCACATGCCACTGACACAGCAAGTGCCTCACGAGGCCACAGGGGCCTCGTACGAGACCATCACGCCCAACCACCCATGTGCAGAGGGGCAGCGCCAGGCTGGGGTTCAGACTGGCACCAGGGGTCTGCCCAGCCAGCCCCATGGACTGGACGGGGGAATGAACTGGACATCTGGCACACGCAAAGGACGGCGCCTCCTACACGTGTGCACCTGCGCGAGGACTCCGGCCCGGGCCCGCCTCCCCCCGTGCAGAGGGGCAGACTGGGACCTGCCTTGGGAAGAGCGGTTGCAGGGTTATTCTCCTCCTCCGCAGCAGAGGAGACAGGCCAGGGCTCGGGGCTGAGGAGGGGTCACTCTCACCAGAGAGCAGGGTCCAGCAGGGAGGGGGAGCGAGGGATCCCCTGGGACGGCGCAGGGGCTGTGATGGCGGCTGTGGGAGGAGGCCAGGTGAGACAGGATCCAGAGGGCCCGGGGGGGACAGGGCAGACACAGGCAGAGCAAGGCCCACACTCACGCGTCCACGTCGGGGAACAGCTGCAGCTTGCTGGGGAAGATCTCCGAGAGCAGCACCCTGACGAATGGGAGGCCAAGGGCTTGGAGCCGCCCCTCCAGGTGCTGTGGGGAACGAGACATAGAGAGTGTTAGGAGAGCCCCAGCTCGGCAATGCCCGTCAGGCAGGCAGGGAATGTGTCATTCCCTGGGCAATCCAGCCTCCGCTGTCCTGACAGGAACCTGGGAAAGGCCCTGCCAGAGCAAAGGGGGGCAACGAGCAGGGGAGGGGCTGCCCAGTACAACCGGGAAGGGCCTCAGGAGCGTGGGGGCCTGACCCCTGGTATGGGGGGGTGGGGTAATCGATACCATAAGGCTCTGGAAGTCCCCAGTCCCTCCAGCCATCACTGCTACAGCAGGGAGAGCTACTGGGGGACAGGATGGGGCCCATTAGACAGGAGGCTGGAGTAGTCCCACCTGAGCCCCAGAGAGGGGGCTTCTCTCTACCCAGCCCAGGAGCAGCCCAGGCAGCAGCAGGACAAGCTCCCCCACCCTCACTGCCCCTCCCAGGGGCTCTTCCCCAGAGCCCACCCAGTCCCTGGCCTCTCTACAGGACTGTCAGTTCCTTGGGACAGCCCCCACACAGCACATGGGGGATGCTGGGGGGCGTCTCCGGCAGCCAAGCAGCTGGAGCCCAGACCCCATCAGCCCCAAACAGCAGCTTTGCTCAGCTCCACCCTCAACACTCGCAGCTGAGCCTAATGAAGTAATTACTGTTCAATGACAACAATCTGTTCTCATTAGCCGCCGCCTTCTCCTCGGCTGCCTGCAGCAGGGACTGGGTGGGCTCCCCTCCATCCTGGCCCAGCCATCACTGGTCATTCTGCCTCTGTCCTGCCTTCTAGCCATCATGGCCTTTGCCACAGCAGCCAGGGAGAAGGGATGATTTAGTTGGGGTTGGTCTTGCTTTGAGCAGGGGGTGGGACTAGATACCTCCTGAGGTCCCTTCCAACCCTGAGTCTATGATTCTAAGCCGCAGGCAGCATCATCCTCTGTCTTGACCCGTGACAGCCTGAGCTCCCGCAGGCCCCAGTCTGCTCTTCCTGGCATCGTCAGCTGAAGGGCCAGCGAAGCCTGCAGCCACTCGCTGCATCGGCCCAACAGGGAGCAGCTACTAGCCAGCGCTGAGGGAGCAGGCTGAGAGCTGAGCCGGGCATGGGGCTGTACTCGCTCGCCCTCCGCAGCACTGCCAGTGCCCTGCCCCCCGGCCCAGAGCAGCCCCCATGCCAGCCCTGGGCCCTACCCCCCAACCCAGAGCAGTCCCCATACCCCAGCCTTGGGCCCCGCCCCCTGACCCAGAGCACCCCCTGTGACAAAGTGGGACTGTTCTTAATGTTTCCTCTGAATACTGTGTGGGTGCCTCAGTTTCCCCTATGCATTTCTTAAGTCTACAGTGTGCATAAATGGCTGACCATCTGTCTCCTAGCAACAAATGGCCAGGGCCCTTCCCCCCTTGCAAGGGGACAGCTAAAGGTGAACAAAGAGATCAGGTGACTTCCTGGCCCGGGAAAGAGACAAAGGCCAGAAAGGAGGGGCTGGAGAGTTTCATTTTGGAGCTGGCTGGGGATGGGAGGTGAGGGCAGATGGGGGTGTCTGGCTCGTGGGACCCCAGAATGGATCCGGCTGAGGGGTCCGGTTCTTTGTACCTACAAGCTCTGTTTTAGACCGTGTTCCTGTCATCTAATAAACCTCCATTTTACTGGCTGGCTGAGAGTCACGTCTGACTGCAAAGTGGGGGGTGCAGGACCCTCTGGCTGCCCCAGGACCCCGCCTGGGCGGACTCGCTGTGGGAAGCGCACGGAGGGGCATATGCTGAATGCTCCAAGGTCAGACCCAGGAGGTGAAGCCGTGTGAGCTGCTTGCCCTGAAGACAGTCTGCTCCAAGGGAGAGGCGGCTCCCCAAAGTCCTGACTGGCTTTGTGGGGAGCAGTTCCAGAGCATCGCCCGGGGACTCCATGACACCCCCCAGCCCCTTCAGCACTGCCCCCCCAGTCCTGATGCACCTCCCCTCTGACCCCAGCACCCCGTTATTCTAGCCCTGCAGCTCCCCCCGCCCCACCGGCCCAAGAGCTGCCTGCTCGCTGGGGGCGGTTTTGTGACTTGGATTCGGGAGACAGGTTGGGGGGGTTCACTCATGTGATGGAAGTGCTGGGGGGGGGGCGCTCTGGGCATGACCCCAGGCTGCACGGTGGGATGTGGGGTGGGGGCACCCAGGGACACAGCAGGTGCCTCTCTCCCATCACATCACCGTGGCCGTAGCCAGCTGTGGAGCAGCTCCGTGCTGTCCTGCGCTAGCCCTGGGACGCGTCGGGCAGGGCCAGTGGGAAAAGGATCAGGCCAAGACGGGGCAGGAGGTGGAGTCCCAGCCTTGGAGCTGCTGCCATGCCTGGAACTCAGCAAGGAGGCGGCACTGCAGAGCCCCAGCCCCGCCTGGCCCTTGGCACTGGGCCAGGACAGGGGAAGCAAAACCAATCCCAAGTTCACGTCACTAAACTAAAAATAGCTGAGAATTAATTGCTGTGCGGCCAGCGCGGGGCTCGCGGGGCCGGCTCTCTCCTGCGAGGGGCCTCGGCACTGGCTCCCTCTCATCTCCTGCTAATTGTCCTGCCAGCTCTGCTCGGGAGCTGTAGAAATCCTGGTCAATGGCGATCAATGGGCATGAGCCAGGGCCAGGAGGCGAGTCACTGGCCAGGCGAGATCCCCTCCCTGCCCCACTGCACAGTGAGGCCAGGGGCATGATGGGCAGCCGCTCACGCCGGCCACGCAGGAGGCACAACCGGGCAAGTGCCAGGGCAGCAGCGGGGCTCGGGGGGGCGGGGGGGGAGTGCTGCAGACCCCAACACGTGGTCCTGAGTGGGGCCGAGGTGGCTCCTGGACGGCAGGGAAGAGGGGGCAGCAACAGGTCCCGGAAGGGAGGATGGATTCTGAGAAAAAGCCAGTTTCTCTTTCCTGCTCCTGGGGCGCAGCGAAGCCCTTCGGGGGATCTGGCTCCACAGAGCAGGGCTGGGGGGAGCCTGATCCCCAAGCCAAGCCAGCTGCGGGACAGGCACATCTCTGGAGGTACCTGCAAGATGGATGTGGAGCCCTGATGCCCCAGGGTCCCGAGAATGAGTCCCCAGCTCCGGGCGCGGGCGGCGGTGCGGATGGCCTCCTGCCGGGCATGCTGCATGCGCTCGTGGGCGTAGTGCTCCCTGGAGAAGACTTTGCTGTAGGGATCGTACCTGTGCAGAAGACAGAGCTGAGGGCAGGCACGGCTGGCAGTGCCCAGCAGTTCGGCCCCTCCCTAGAGTCAGACCCTGGCGGGGATTGGGACCTCCAGGGCGCTGCACTCACAGCTGCCCACAACTGACACAACATTCGGGGGAGGGGGGGTGTCTCTCCCCGCAGGAGGGAAGGAGGGGGGCTGACCCCCTGTTCCGTCAGGGGGGCCTGGACACTAGCACAGGTTCCCTCGCTGCTCTGGGATGAGCTCTCTGCAGGCAGCTCCAAACCACGGCCATTCCTGTCAGTCACAGGTCGCTGGGCTCCCCTCTGACCGCACGCTGGGAGGAGAGGGGACCGGCTAACTACCCCTCCTCCACACCCCATGGGGGGCAGCACTGACCCACAGGCCTGCCAAACCCCCCTCTCCCCTCCAGGAGGCACTGACGGCTCCTCCGACTCGGCTCCTGGCAAGGCCGGGCTCTTTGCTCTCCTGGGGTCCCTGGCCCTGAGGCAGCCACCTCAGGCTGATCCGTCAGTGCCAGCCTCTCCCTGCCAGGCGAGGACAGTCTGGGGGAGGTGCCCTCTGGCCCGGCCCAGGTACGGGAGCCTGCCTGGACGGTCCATTGGACCCAGCAGGCCCGGTGGTGTAAGACTGAGCCCTTCCTACCACCCGCATTAGAGGGGGAATCAGCCCAGATGCTGTGGGAATGGGTCACTAGAGAACCTTCCCAGCCAGTGGCCCGTGGCGCTCTGGTCAGCTCCCAACGCAGGGCAGAGTAGGGCGTGCGTGAACAGAGATCCGGCTCCTCTTGGCCCGGCCCCTGGCTTCAGCCCTGCCAAAGGCTGCAATGCACACAGGCCGGGCCACTCGCTCTCCTGCTCTGTCATTCTTCCCCCTCATCAATTATGAAGAAATCTTTGATTTGTTGCTTTGTTTGACGAAGAGAATTTTAATCAAATCCCACTTGGGCTGCAGCAGCTTCCCCAGCCCCATAAACCTGACGTGCGTCTCCCGTTAGTAACAAACGACCTACTAAGAAATTCAGATTTCACAAAATGGGCCAGCCTTTCGCTCCTGATATTTCATCTGCTTTCAGCAGCCTCATCATCACATTTTATGGCCTCTGCCTGCAGCAGCCGGGGAGTTTAATGGCTGCACCTCAAAGAGCTTTCACAGGTACTTGTCAAAATGTTTATATTCAGCCCGAGTAAATGGCTGGTGTTCATCTCATCAAGCCCGACTCCCCTCTGCACCTCTCCCTCAGCCCTGGAGCCGCTTGTGATTGCTCCGTGAGGGCTCCCCTACACGACTCCGCCTGAATGCCCAACACCCCGTAGGAGGCCAGACCGTGCTGCTGGGACCTGCAGGGTGAAGGCCCGTGGCCTGTCCAGCGCCGCAGCGGCAGGCTGGGCCAGTACAGCTGGCCGCTGCAGCGCGTCTGGTGAAGACGCTCTATGCCGACGCTCTGTGTCCCGTTGGCGTAATAAAACCAGCCCCGCGAGCGGCAGAAGCTGTGCGGGCGGGAGCTCTCCTGCCGGCATCGCGCGGTACAAGCACTCATGTCAGTGTAATGTATGTCGCTCGGGGGGGGGGGGGTTATACGACATAACCTGTAGTGGAGACAGAGCCTGAGAAGCCCATGAACAGGGTCTGCTCCTGGTAGGCAAGTTTTGACCCCACCGCCTCTCTCCTCGCCCAGCCAGGCTGCACCCGGACCAGTGGTGGTTTGCAGAGCGCTGGCTGCCGGCTTCCCCACCTCGGCTCTGGCAGTAAATTGTATTAAAAAGCTAAACAAACATTAAACACTTCCCAGCATCCCTGCCATGGGCTCCCATGGGGGGGGGGGGGCAAAGGGGGGCCAGGCAAAAGCCAATGGGAGGGGAGCCGGGTCTGAGTGACAGCCAGGGGAAGGAGAGGCGGGATGCCCAGCCAGAAATGGGAGGGGAGGTATCCACAGACAGTCTGACTATGCCCATGCCAGGAAATCCCATATCCACTCCCCAGCAATGCCCCCAGTGTGACTGTTGGTGACCCCTGCAGCCTGGCTGGCTCCAGTACCTGTAGGCGGGAACTCCGGGGTTGGCAATCATGACAGATTCCAGGTGGAAGCGCCCATCCCCCAGGTACCTGCAGCAGGGAGAGAAGAGCTCAGGGACGCTGCCACGCGGCTCAGGAGCCAGCTGACTCCAGAGCACTGTCGCAGAGCCGGGGACGTTTGGTTCAGGCCCGTTCTGACTGCCTGGTGGCTGCTGCCGCATCTCAGCGCTGTGTGCAGGAGCCCATACCGGCCCGTGCTGAGCACAACAGGCACAGAGCAGGCAAAGCAACCGACTAAGGGCTGGGTTCAAGCAGCCCTGCACTCTGGGGCTTGCAAACAAAACCTGTGAGGCCACATGGGGACCAGTCAGCGCCAGTGGGCAGGGGAGAACCAGCTCATGCTGGCAAACAGTGAGAGAAACCTCCCCCCGTACACGCAGCTGGCGAGGGGATGGGACCGCTCTGCCTGGCATCCTGCACTCACACAGCAGGGCAGGCCACCCTCGTTTTGTCTGACTTATAAGTGGCGCTCAAACAGCCCTGGAGTGAGCAGGATGAGGAGCATCACGTGAGCCGTTATGGGTTGAACACTCGGCTGCTAGCGGCAGGCAGGCAGATCTCTGCTGCCTCCTTTGCTTTAACAGCGTCCCAGGCAGACAGTGAAAGAACACGAGGACGTGGCTCTGGGGTCCCTGAGTTAAGGTCAGGGCTTTGCGCCTGCTTCCACTGGTGGGGAACGGTTTGCTGTGACTGTGCCAGGCCTCTCCATGTGTAACACACCCACCTGCACAGCAATGGGGCTGGCCCTCCTCACCACTCCTGGCCCAGCCCATAGCTAGGTTCCAGGGGCCAGGCCAGCATAGCTGGTGCTGTAAGCCCGGAGTGTAGACGCAGCCTAAACCAATGGCAGGGGGGTTTCTATCGCTGTAGGAACACCCCCTTTCTGCGCGCTGGCAGCCAGCTCGCTGGACGCGTCCACACTGGGGCTTAGGTCCTCGGGGTGTAGATTCTTCACAGCCCTGAGTGAGGTAGCTATGTTGACCTAAGTTTTAAGTGTAGACCAGGCCTCCATATGGAACAGAACCCAGCCATGCTAAGCTGCCCCCCCTGTACTCCCAGCGGCCGCCTGGACACTTCAAGATGTGCCCCTGCTGGCCCCACTGATGCAGTGGCACCTGGGCACAAGTGAGACTGCAGCCCTGGACACTGACCCGTCTCCTGCGTACCACAGGTAGGGAAATGAGTCAGGAACGTATTTTAAACAACGCGATTTCCATTCCTACCACTCCACCTGGGGCTCTCCCCGCCCCCCGGCCAGCGCACTTCACCACCGCTGCCTGGGTGAGCGCCCCCTGCTGGAGCCAGGAGAGGCGTCCATTCTCCACCCAAAAATGGATTCCTGCTGCTGGACTGGGGCAGAGAGGGCGAGTCAATGTGCAGCCTCAGAGCTGCTCAGTAGCTACGTCTGGTTAGAGACATTTCTGCTTCCATTTCTAATCAGATTTCAAGTCAGCAATTACATTTCAAAGCCTTTCATTCAGCTGCCCTAATGGAGTGAGGGCTTGGAAAATGAATTCAGACGTAAAACTTGACTAGATTTTGCCCTTAATTGGAGAATGACATTTTGGAAGATCAAAGCTAATTTGTCTGGAAAAGTTAGCCCCAGAGACGGGGCTAAATAAGAAAATAACAACTCAGACAGGAGCCTGTGGAGTCGCGCAGGTACAACAGCCAGTGCCACAGCTGGGACTCACCTGCAGCAGCTAGACACCCACATCTGCAATGGAACAAGAGCCCAGAAGCTGCAGCCACTGGAGTTTCTCTCCAGCACTAGGAGAGGGCAGGGCCAGGGAAGGGGGTTGGCCTTGAAAAGCCCTGGTCTACATGAACATGGTGTGGAGCCTGAATCCCCCTCCCTGAAAGGGTGGGAGGGCGGGAAACTAGAAGGCAACACATTTAATACTGATCGAAGGAAACCCACGATTAGCCTGCGGAACTCACTGCCACAAGACATGAGTGGGGCAGGAGCTCCACAGGACTGCGGTAGGAATCAGGCATTTACATGGCTAGTTCCTTTAGGCAGAATGAGGATTTACTGGACAGCTCCGAGCCCTCGAGCCAGGGCCTGAGACGCCCATTGGCTGAGGAGGCGGGGGGGACACCCCCTTAAGCAGCGTACCCCAAACTTTCCCAGGCCAAGCCCTCTTCAGGAAATGAAGCCAATCGCGCGTGTCCCCCCCCAGACCACGTGGCCACACCACTCTTCAGTTGTTCCCCGGGGTGTGTGTGTGGTTCTTGTTGCCTCCTTTGGAGCCGGTGACTGGGATAGAGGAAGCCCCTCTGGGCGGCGCTGGCAGTTCCTGTGTGCTGCTCACCACGCTGTCTACAGCACCCACCACAGCCACCCCCGCTGTGCCACCCTGGTGCAACGTGCCCAGAGCCGGCCAGCCCGGAGTCGGGGCGGCTGCAGTACAGCGAGTCGGAGGGGCCGTCACTCAGTCACAGGAGGCCTGGAGAAGACGTCTAATGGCTCTGTGCTGGCTCTGAGGCATTAGATTCAAGCACAGGCACCAGGCACTTCCGAAGCTCTGGGGAGAGAGGAGCAGCGCAGAGTGGAGCCTAGAGCCCAGGCCGGGCAGGAGGAAGGGAGGCTGGGGCCCGCCAGAGGTGAACTTGACCAGGGAAGAGCAGTAGGCCCAGCTTGGGCTCCTGTCAGAGAGCAGTGTGGAAGGACGGGGTGTGTGTGAGGGGTCCTCCCCTCCCCACAGCCCTGCGCACGGACGGGCCAGCATCCGCCTGTGGGCTGGGGTGAGACACGCCAAGCTGGCCTCCGGGAACATGCCCCCAGCTACACCCCAAGAGTCACCCTAGCCCTCCTCCTCCCCGCATAACGGGCCACCGATCCCGACACAGGCCGTTCAGTCGCTGCGCGTGCTAACCCGAGGGGGTGGGTACCACCCCGTCCCACTTCAAGCTCCCAGGCGGGCTCAAGGGGCAGCATGAGTTGTGGGTCGCCTGCCCCACACATGGATTGCCACTGAGGGCATGGCCAGCACAGCTCTGCCTGGGATCCCCCTGGGGTGGGGTCGTTTATTTATTTATTCTGCAGCTCACTGTATTCACAGTACATTAAGCATTTCCATTACCTAAAATAATTAGGTGATAGGAAGCGAAGTGCTCCCTCTAATTTGCTGTCCTTAAATAAAATTAATGGTGCTGTGATGTTGGGGCCCAGCCATTCGTCTTCTCCAATTATCTGCCCGCCTTTCCATCTATTATCTAGTCTGATCTACGACTCAATTATTCCTTCTGCGTTACAAGCACAAGCCACTCTGTGCAGAGCCTGCCAGGTGGGTCCTGTCTCCCCCAGGTCTGGAGCACGGGGACCCACCTCTGCCAGATTCCCACCCCCCTGGCACCTGGAGCGCAGGGAACCCCAGGCTCTGCCGAGGTTTCCATAGCTCCCAGACATGCATGGGGCTGTACAAATTGGGGGAGAGGCCTGCTCCAGGGACAGGTTTTGTATCACCTGAACTAGAGGACTTAAAAACACTCATCGTTGAAGTGTTTGCAAGGAAGCAGAGCTATATAAACCCTGGTACTTACACAACGGCGTCTGTGTCCGGCCCCAGTCGGGGAGATGTGCAGCCCAGGATCTCGCCTGGCGAGAGCGGCTTGCACTGCGGGATGCTGACCTTGTACTCAGAGCGCAGCACCTGGGAGGCCGCCTGTGGGGAAGAGGCCAGGGGTCAGATACCAAACGTGGAGGACGGGGCTTCAGGGTGGGCTGGGCTGAGAACAAACTGCCCCAGAGGCTGAGGGAGGTGGAGAGGGAGGGAGCGGCGCAGCGGTGTGCGCTTGGAATACAGCCTCTGACTGACTGCACGGGGCAGCACAGGGCGTTCCTAGGCCGCCTCATCACACCTCCGCCCTCAGACTCTGTGTCCCTGGCCCCTGCCAGCCCCCAGCAGCCGGCTCCGCCAGCCCATGGCGAAGGAGAGGGCAGCGCATTCCATGGATCCAGGGGACAGCCGAGGGGCCCTGGGATGGAGGGGGTGTGTGTGGCAGAGGTGAGGTCTCCAGGCAGGGCTGGGGCCGGCCGGAGCAGTGAGAACTCCCCTGGCCGAGTGAACTGGCCCTGCCTCAGCGAGGGAACGTGAGCCAGACGCTTGGAGCCACTAGCAGACGCATCAATTAAAATACAAGAGAAAATGTTTAACGCTTCAACGACCCCATGTTTAGACAGACACGGCTCAAGAGGCTCATTCATCTCTCCCGTCCTGCTGAGCCGGCCATTCACCAGGAGCAGCTAATCCGCAGCCAGACCTGCCAGCGGCTGCCGGAGCTTCCCCTGCCACTACCAGCGTCGCAGCAAAATGCCAAGTGCTCTGCTGCCTGCCCTGACATTTACAGGGCCGGCTCCCCCGGGAGGGCGGGGGGACGGCCATGAAACATTGATCAGAGTTATTACAAAGCACTTGATCAACATTATGGCAGGAGAATATTATTGCAGCTACTCATTAGAGGGGAACCGGCGGCTCTGAGCAGTCGCTGAGGCTAGAAAGAGAGACACCACTAGACACAAAGGTGTGCACCCTGCACAGCCCCTCCCCCCCCGACAGGTGTGCACCCTGCACAGCCCCTCCCCCCCGACAGGTGTGCACCCCCACAGGCTCTGGCAGGCACCCTGCCCTGCCCGGGCACATGCAGCGCTGCGCTCTGCAGCTCAGCAGGGAGGGAGTGCCGGGTGTTTTAGGGCCCTTCGGAGTGAAATGGTTTGAGAAAAGCAAGTTCTTCCCCTTCCCCTCCCTTCATCCTGACACCGCGCCCATGAGCCCCGCCCCAGGACAGGAGCGTCTCCCCACCTAGGCGTGGAGGCCCCCGCAACTGCCTGATTTCCAGGCTGAACATGGATCTTGATACAAATGCAACTGCCAAGGAGAGGAGCGTGCGAGAGAGCTGTCAATTATGGGACGTTCATGGTCCCAGCTGTGCTCTTTATTAAACCCACTCAGTCCCATTAGCCCTGGGAGCCCAGGGTTTGCGCCGCAGGTACGACAGGCGCTGCTCCAATAGCTTCTGGCCTGGGCTCCCTGCAGAGGACCCAGCATGGGAGCAGGGTGACCTGGAAGCCACCAGGCACTGGCTCCGGGAAGTTGTTGCTTATCTGCATTCACAGGCATTGGGAGGCAGCTGGTTGTGGGGCGTGGGAAAGAAAGAGCCCACCGGCAGCATGGGGCTGGGGCTCCCGTGCTGTTACTGGTGTGAGGCCCCAGGCCCAGCAGCCAGCCCGGCCCCACGGACGTCTCACCTGCAAAGCGGAGACGAACTGGATGGTGCTGACGAGAGCCAGGCAGGCGCCCTTGGGGAAGTTGAAGTGGACGGTCTCCACAAAGTGGGACGTATCGATCTTGATATCCACAAACACATAGAGCATCTTCACCCCCTGCGTGGCGTCGATGGGAACTAGGGCCAAGGAGAGAGAGCGTCAGCTCAGCTGGCTGCGCCCAGCCCCGCCGGCCAGGAGCCGAGGCACAGGGCCAGCGGAGCATCCCTACTGCAGCACCTCCCAGCCCACGCAGGCACCGGCTGGGGAAGCAGCCAGAGAGGAGCTCGAGCCCAGCTGCTGAACCGTCCCCCCGGGGCCTGAGTGCAGCCATTACGTAAGGAGAGGGGCCGCCCCCACTCAGCGGCACCGCACTGGCTTGCAGAAGCCACCAGGCAGCCCCTGCCCCCATTTTCAGAGGCTCCCGGCTCGCTGCCTGGTGCTGTTTACACTGAGGAAGGTGTCACAGGCAGGGCTCCCGGGCCCAGGCGCGGCGCTAGCCAGGAGATGGTGCGCGAGTCCCGTGGCATGGCAGCGCCAGCCCACCGCGGCCAGGTCAAGGCGTGTAGCACGCAGCTGGGACAGCGCTGGCAGGCAAAGGAAAGCAGCACTCGGTCATTTCTCTCTGGGGAACGACCGCCCAGGGAATCGATGAACACAAATCTAATTACCCTCCATGCTAAGGAGCCCATGTCACCACGATTAAGCGAGTAATTAAAGAACATGGGGTCTGCATCGACCCACAGCTCCGCGCTCACTGCCCATTTCAGTGCCATTCCCCTGAGCACAATTAAGTGCCAAATTACTCCCTCCGGGGGGGCTGTGGAGGGGTTGCAGGACCACAGAGGGAGATGTGCCCTTGTCCTTCACAGAGCAGGGGGCATGGCACAAAGGCCTGGGCACAAATGCCAGGGAGCGCTCGCTGTAACCGTTGCAGGGGTAGGTCACCAGCCTGCTACGGGCACCACCCCTGAGCACAGCTCTGCTCAGAACAGCCAGGGAATGCAACACGGGGTGCATGGCCAGCAGCTGCACTGCAGAGCCAGCCCCACTGGCTCCTCGCTGAGACCAGACCACTGCCTTGCAGTGCTGGACACAGAGTGCCTGCCCCTCTCCGCACCTCTGGGGCCTGACGCCCGAGTGCCACCCGGAGGCCCGGGAAGTCAGTGCCGCAGCGCATGCCCCTCCGGTTTCCCTGTAAACCCACCATACCCTGCCTCAGGCTCCTGGGGAATCCTGCCATGGGCAGGCCCAGCACCAGCGGGGCTGGCAGCATCGCGCAGGCCTGCGCCACGTGAGCCACTGTGGGAGACCCGGCGCCTCGTGCCCACCCGGCTCTGAACACCACAGGCCTCAATCTTGCTAAGCAGGGCCAGGCTGGGTCAGTATTTGGCTGGAGCTCAGCAGAGGGTGACCCCAGTGGCCCAGGTGGAGGTGCTGCCTTTCGCAGAGGCTGTAAAGGCCCCCAGCTCTCTTCCCAAGTCACGGCCATGTCTGGTACGTGTGCGGGCACTGGCACAGCCCTCCGCACCGGCTGGATCAGGCAGAGTGTTAGTCAGTCCCTTCCCCTCAGCTCTTGTGCAGAGCTGCTTGCCCAGGAAGAAGTGCTCCCTTCCAGCAGTGGCTGCATTTCCCTGAAAGGGCTGGGGACCTTCACCAGGAGAGCCCAGGCAGGCAGCGGTGTCGTGTGAGCTCCTGCTCCCGAGTGCTTCTCTTCTCGCCGTTCGTTAATGTAACAGCAAGGACAGACCAGGAGTTTTAACACCCCCAGGCTACTGACGCTGTCTCCCCCTGACCCTCGCTCCTAAACTGCAGTGATGGACACTGATCGCTGCGGTCACCCCCCGGACGTGGGTTGGGACCCTCACTTTTCAACCCTGCAATATTCTATAAGAAATGTGATTATTAAAAGTCATTTCTATGCCCTGTAAATTCACCTCCCAGCAAGGCTACCCCATCTGGGGCCCACGACGCAGAGACAGGTGGAGGCCCCACTCTGGGCGAGGCGCCTGGGCTGACCTGCCACCGGTGGGGACTGGACTGCACAGCGCTCTGGGAGCGAGGGAGCTGGTCCCAGGGAGCCAGAAGCAGGGCTTAGAACCGGCTCCGGACTCAGCCAGACCCCAGCTCCCACGGCACGGTGCCTGAGCCTCTGGAAAGCGCAGACAGCCCCCCCCCCCATGCCCGCCGATGCCAAGGACACACAGGAAGGGTCGTGGGTGACGGATGCTGGAGGGCGCGGCGGGCGGGGGTGCTCCGCTGTGCACTGTAAGTGCCCAGGGAGTGTCTCAGCAGGGCCCCTGGGGCACACAGCACAGCCGGGCAGGCAGACGTGCTCTGGCCACGCCAGCAGAGACAGTCAGGCCCAGGCCAGTCTCAGTGGGGTAAGGGCAGCAGAGCCCACCCACCCCGAGCCAGGGGGTAGCCTCCTGCAGCTGGGCTCCGTCCGCCCCAGGCTTGCCCGGCCCTCCGTTATCTGGGGCAACAATTCCACAGAGCCACCTTAAAACCCCAAATGTCTTATTGTTATTTTTGGGCTGATTCCACCCTGGGTGGACTTCAAAGTTAGCAGCATCTGGGACAGCAGCGCAGTTTCCATGGCAACTGAATCCAGAGTACCCTTCTGCCTAGGGAGCGCAGAGCCGCTCCTCGCCTGCCCTTTAAACCAGCCCTTACGGCCCCCGCTGCCACCAGACCAGGGCTAGCAGGGGCCCCAGAGCAGGGAGCCCCAGCCAGACCCACCTCTTCTGCTCCCCTAGGCCTCCACTCCCTTCTGCTCCGGCTCCCATCAGACCCCCTGGCTCCTGCTCACAAGCACAGCACCTCCCACAAGCACAGCACCTGGGACTGGGGTAAGGAACTTTGCAGCCTCAGAGCCCCACTGCATGTGGAGCCTCCCCTACCAGTGCCTCTGGAGATGGAGAATGGGCATGTGACGGGGACTCAGGACTCCTGGGTTCTAATCCTGGCCCCGGCTCTTCCCCCTCGTCCCATGGGGAGAGCACCCACCTGCCTGCCAGGCCGGGGAGGGGTCACTGATCAATGTGCATCCAGCCGTTCCCAGTCCCTGTCCTGGGCCGAGGCGCTGCAGGCCCGGTGGTCTCACGGTCCTAAGGCTCAGGAGTGGGTGAGGCGGGCGACCCGCCTTCCAAGCTCCCCACCCAGGGGGCCTGCGGGCGCAGCGGGGATGATGTCTCATCCCTGGGCGGCTGCAGGAGGAGCTGCTGGGGAGCCAGCACCCCAATGCTCGGCCACACAGATGCTGTGGCACATGCTAAGGACAAACCCCTCACTGTCCTAACGCCTCCTGGACACACCAGCCTGGCTGCTGTGGCGCAGGGCTCGAGAGAGAACCTGAGACACGCCACTGCCAGTGCCGCACTCGCAGGCCTCTGCTCCCTGCCAGGCCCTCCATGGCCCGGCTCTGCCGGGCATCGGCACAGCCTCCGAGCCAGAGGGCCCCAGCCACAGAGCAGCAAAGGTTCCTCCCATGCAGCCTGAACTGCAGCCAGAGAACAGGGAGCTTGGCCGAACAGACAACAAAGCCACTCTGGGCCAGAGCAGAGAGATTCCCTCTTCAGGAGATTATGGACTCACCACTAAGCTGGGGACTGGCTCCGAGAGGGGACTGGGGCCCATCTGCAGTTCCCTGCCGCCCTGCGAGGGCGCTTGGCATGTTGCCGAGATGGGATGGGCTCTGCCTGGGGCTCAGAGCTCCCCACACACAATGCAGGGGCTCTGCCAGCACCAACCGCCCCGCCATCCCCTGCCCAACGCTGCCACTCTTCTGCTCCAACTCCTCCTACCCAGTGCCACCTTCCCCATGCTGCCCTTCCCTCAACCCCTCCCAGCTAGGGCCTGCACTGCCCACCCCCAACACCAGGGCCTGCCCCACCCAGTGCAGAAGCCACCTGCCAGCTCTCTAACTAATCCGCTTTGCTTCCAAGATCCCCCAGCCCCAGCGCAGCTCACACCTCTCTGCCCGCGGCAGAGAGCCCCTCACCACTGACATCAGCTGCTGCACAGGCCCCGACCCTTCACGGGCTGCAGCTGCCACATGAACAGACTGCAGCCAGTGCCACTCAGCTCTGAGACTGGTGCCTGGGCACGGCCACGCCTGGGCTCGGGGGCTCGCCAGGTCATGGGCTCAGGGGCAGGGGAGCTTGGGCCTGGGGGGGATCGGACTGGGGGTCAAGAGCTGGAGGGGGATCGGCCTGGGGACTGGGGGTCAGGAGCTGGAGGGGGATCGGCCTGGGGACTGGGGGTCAGGGCTGAGGGGGGAATCGGCCTGGGGACTGGGGTTAAGGAGGGTTGGGGGGGGGGATCAGCCTAGGGACTGGGGATCAGGAGCTGGAGGGGGATCGGCCAGGGGACTGGGGGTCGGGGTGGGGGGTTGGAGGGGATCGGCCTGGGGACTGGCGGTCGGGGGGGATCGGCCTGGGGGGCGGGGGGGGATCAGCCTGGGGGTCGGGGGGGATCGGCCTGGAGTTCCGTGGGCGGGAGGGTTGGCCTGTTTTACACTGGCTTTTCCCTCTGTACTGATCCTGACCCAGAACACCCCAAGGCACCAGCACCAAGACACCCCCGAGCCCCCTTCCCCCAGGGCTCTGCTGGCAGGGTACGTACCCAGGCAGCTGTGTCCGTAGTGTACCATGAAGTCTGCCCCGAGGGCCCTGGCCGTGAAGTCATCCACACAGCACGCACCGTACGTCACGTCTCCCATCACCACCACCTCGGCACCGGTGAACCTGTGGGGAGGGCAGGAGGGGCAGCATGGGGCCAGCGCTGGGCTAGTGGTAGGGAGAGATGCACCAGGTGGCCTGGGGCTGTGCGGGAGGGGGGCACCAGGTGGCCTCGGGGCTGGGGCGATACCTGCCTGGCTGGAGGCTCGTTTTCAGCCCAGTCTGACTGCAGAGCCGGCCTCAGCGAGCCACAGAAAACCACGAAGGTGTGCCACGGCCTGTCCATTAACGCCACTGCCCCGGCTTGGCGTACGGACCCCTCCCCCCAGGGAGATTCACTAGCCCCCCAGGGCACGGGGAGCCCCTCCCCTCAGCCCTGAGCCAAGGAGCTCAGCAACAGCAGGCTGAGAAAGGGGCCTCCCCGGACCACAGCGCTGGGCTCCTGGCAGCAGCACGGGGAGGGGCTCACACAGGGGGGAGCTGGGGCCAGGTGCTACGGCCTGAGCCCACAGGAGCCTCGAGGCCCAGCTGACCATAGCAGAGCCTGCTCCAGGCGAGCGTCTCCCCACGGCCATTCCCTGACCGGCATTGCTGCCTGCAATCCTCGTGCAAGGCAGCACAGCAGGGCAGGGGCATGTGCCAGGCTCCCGCATGTCCTGCCACGGATTGCAGCCGCTGCAAGCCCGCCCCAGCAGGGGACCAGGACAGGCACCGGCTACTCCCCGAGACGGCACCATGATTACACTGCAGAGAGGTAATCCGCCCCTTCAATTGGGTAAAGCTGTTTGCAATTCAGGGGATTATCTGCTCATCAGATATTACGCTGCCAGCTTCCCAACGTAGCAGGCCGGGGAGAGGAGAGGCGAGGCGCTGTCAGTCTCCCGCCAGCATATCCTGGGGACACGCGAGCCTCTTGGAACAAGCGCAGCAAGAGCCAAGCAGCGGCCAGGGTGAGCCCGAGTGGGAAGTGACAGACCCCCATTCACGTGGGAGAGCCGCTCCCAGGATCCCAGCCCTGGCCCCCTCTATCCCGTCCCGCCAGCGCTCCAGCCAGGCCACCGCCCCACTTGGAGCAGGGGCTCAGATTTGATCAAGTCCATGTGTCCGAGGGAGCAGCGCTGGCTTCACCTCTGCATGGCTCCTGTCAACTATGCCTGCCCCATGCCTGGCACTGCTGGCAGGGTCTGAACCCCATCCCTGCTCAGCCTGCATACCCAAGGCGCCCCGCGGCCCTGCATCCAGCATGCCAACGGCACCTCACTCCTGTGTCTGTGGGGAGCAGACTGGGGCCCTTCTCCACTCTCACAGAGGGGCCCAGGCACTGGCCCACACGAGGCACTGGCCCATTAGAGGAGCATCTGCTGCTTAGATGGCACCTGGAGAGAAGTGTGAGTCACACAGCTCCCCGTCAGCACTCGCCTTCTGCTCCTGGAACGAGCCTCCGCGGAGGAAAAGCGTGCCCCGCTCCCGGTCCCACTCAGCCGGAGCAGAGCCAGAACCCGCCAGGAAGAGCCGCCATCCGGCTGGCACCCACGAAGCCAGGGTGGGGCGGCTTGTGACAGGCCCGGTGCCAGAGGCAGAGGATGCTCTGTGATTTAAAGGCGCCACCTCTGTAGGTATTTTATTGCGCCAGTCCAGGGATTATTAGCTTGGCCGCATGCCCGGGGAGCTGCTGTGGTATTTTAATTAGGAAAGCAGGTATTGTAATGACAAAGCCCCCGCCTGGAGGGGCTGGTTAAACCATATGCTAATTCCTTATTTACATCAGGTTTCACTGAGCACTTGCAGGAGCCGCTCTCCTCCTATTGTCTGGGCCGTATCTCACTGCACCAGGTCCTCCGGCCTCGCCTCCCCCACGGGCTGGGACTTGGGCAGCACACGGAGCAGCGGGCTGGCTCACCGACAGGGCTCAGCTGCCCGTGCTGGGAAAGGAGATGGATCGGGAGGGCCCATCTCACAGCGAGGGGCTCAGTCTGCGCAGCCCCTTTGCTCCTGGACGGCTCTGCTTAGGTAGCCAGCAAGGGGCAAGCTGCGGTGCTTCCTGCGACATGGCCCGAGACCCTATGCGGGGTCCAGCAGCAGCCCAGGGGAAGGGCCCGACAGCCCAGCACAGCCCAGCCCTTTGGGCCGTTCCCAGGCCCCCCAAGTGGCAGTGCAGGCAGCGGTGGCGCAGTCTCCAAGTCACCCAGCCCCGGTGGGACGCCGCGACGGCCCAGGAACCAGGGTGCCTCTCGCTGTCCCATCCAACCCACAGGCCACAGCATGGGGGCTCTCGGACCCTGAGAGCTCAGCTCTCCGGAGCAGAGCAACTCACTGACAACCCCAATCAAACTCACGCAGGGACCGGCCCCCAGGCTGCTCGGGCAGAGCCCCCAGCACGATGCCACACTGCGAACGCCGCCTGGAGAGCGGGGCAGGGAGCTACGTACCACTCGAGAATAGAAACTGTGGGCAGATCCGGCCAGATGGCGGGGGGGAGAAATCGCAGAGCGTGCTGAATATTAACAGCTCGATCGCATCCGTCAGCGCCGGGGCAGGGAAAGGGATCGCGTCTTCAGCAAGACCTTCCCTGCACACGCAGCAGCCCCCAGGCCTGGGGCAGCCCCTCCACCTGCCTGGGGGACAAACACCCCTCTGCAGGGAACCTCCCAGCTCCTGTGCTGACGGAGGCCCCACCTCTACTGGCTGGCACGCTGCAGCCCCGGCCCAGAATGGCCTGCCAGGGTGCTAGCGACCCTCAAACCAGCCTGTAGAAGGACAATGACACACAGTGTCACGCTGGGAAGGCCCAGACTCCAGGCAGCTCCCCTGCCCTGAACCATCCAGCTCCCGCAGCGAGGGGAATGCGGCCTTCCAGACACAGGGCGACAACTGCCACCCTCCCCCACAGTGCGCACAAGGGGTGCCGGGCAAGGGGCACCCAGCCAGCGGCTGCCCCTCACTCCAAGGGAGCCTCGGAGATTCCAGAACGCGGCTCTCGACCCCCAGCCAATCCGGACTCGAAGCGCCTCCTCTAATAAGCGGGGATGAAATTAACATGAATCAGACGGGCGGGGAGAGTGGGAAATTATTCATCT